CGAGTGGACCCGGTTGGAGCCCCAACCGGTTCCCAAGACATAACACCATGCAACTTTTGAGAGTAATAACCTGGTATCCCTCTTTTGGAGGGAACATCTTTCCTGTTCTCTTGGTTCCTGAGTTTTCTCCCTCCACACATGTAGTAGACATTCATCATTCTAAGGCCACTGAATACGATGAATCTTCACCAAGTTGGTTTCCTGGTGAGAGAGGAATTGCCTCCTTAAATTGTTATTTTCTCTGTAATTTCCCTGAAGATCTTATGGCTCCCCTGAGCCTACTATCTTCCCCTTGTGTACAATTTGACTACAAAAGCAACAATATTTATCTCTGAATATTGTTAATGGAAGCTTTTGATAGCTGTCTTAGTCTCTAAAATCAGCTGCTTACATGCCCTCCAATAAGATCGATGATGTTGATGAGCACAAGTGACACAAGATTTTCTTGAGATCATCTGTTCCTTGAGCAATGACTTACCATGGGATGAAAGCATGACTCTCTCTCTTTAACTCTTTTTTAATGTGTGTAACTGACTGTGTTCTCCATTTTTCTTTTAACTAAATTAATTTTCACTACTATTAATATTTTCTATTAGTGTTTTTTAAAAGTTTTGAGCAACAAGACTTCAGCTTACAAATTGCTCAGGGATAGCTTTTGCTAAATAAAAAGACCAGTACAAAAGAATTATAAATAAAATAGGAGTGAATAGTAATGGTTGTGGTGCTTTGAAGTCAATACATATTTATCCATGCAGTTAGATATGGATTGCTAGAACTGTCAGAAAGGTTTGGGGCAGTGCAAAATTATTTTTTTCTCTACTAGCTTTATTAATTCCACAGCTGAGTTCAGTGCCTCCTAATACAGACACTTAGCAACAGACAGGCAGCACATATGTTGACTTTTTAGTGCCTGTGGTAACATATTTTATCAATCATTTTCTGTAAGTCCTTTGTACAGCCATTTCGCATAGAGATAGGGTATGCAGGCATTCCTGGTGGGAGTAGGAGTACTTTTACGCAGGAGTGTCTCATCCTGTTATCTGCGTGCGGGCTTAGAAGGAACAGGGAAATAGGTGATAATTATAGGTACACAGCAAGGACTTTCATCAGCGGGACTTTCTGTGCCTGTATGTTATTAACTTGTCGAGGTCATTTGTTTTCTGAATCTTCAATAAATACTGCTGCCTGAGTTCGCTCAGAGCTGGCATTTGCTCAGACGTTTCCCTGCGTCTCATTTCAAGTGCCAGACCACCACAAGTGCCTAGCTTTCTAATCCCATTGTTTAGGACTGCCACATGTGGGATGGAAAACCACTAGGTGGCAGGAAACATACAGGGAAAAATAACTCTTTTGTGCCACTTAGTGGTTGTTAAGACTTTTGCAGTGCAATATTTGTAGTTCTGTTTTTCTAAGTTGTTTACATACTCTAATTTCTCCAGAATAATCTGTCAAATGGGTTGATGTCTGAAAGTGTCACCTAACAATCTACTGCAGTTACAAGTCAATATCCAGTGACTCCATTTACAAGATGGGCAGAAATGTGGAAAAAGACCTTCTCAGAGGTTGTCCTGAGATTGTGGATCCTTGTGGTAATTGTCCTAATATTACTGCTGGGATCTCTCATTGTAGGCAACTATTCTTCACTGCAACCCCTCCTCTCCTCTCCTTTGATGTCAATTTTCTGTCCACTTCTCTGTCAGAAAAACTTTGCAGCCTCAATCATATTTACTTCAGAATAGCAGTGTTAAGTATTTCAATGTTGTATTTGTGTGATGATCTATTAAGATTTGTAGATTGTTTTTGCTATTATTTTGTGGTCGTCAAAATGAGTTGAGTTAGAATGGTATTAATGGGATTTGGGGTATATTTGGTTTGGATCAGTTTATGCACAATTCCCATCAGAAAAGAAAAATTGCATTTTTTCTCTTTGTGGTTTGCTTCCAACATTCAAGTAGCACAACTACCAGAAGGCTGCATGCTGTGCCGCTTGTTTTATAACCTATAAGTAAGCATTTTTATTTCATATACATTTCATTTCAAACAAGGGCTTCCCTGCTGCTACCGGCAAACTGAACCTCAACATTTGAGTGGAAGCAAATAACCACCCAGGGAGTGGCGGGCGATAGGGGCGAGAAGAAAATGGTCTAACATCAATTATTGGGCTAATTTGACACCAGGATTTTTTTTTAATTAGATACTCCGATCTGCCAGGCTCTCCTGTTGCTTAAAATCATTCTTTAAAAAAAAAACAAAAAAACGCGCGTAATTTTCTATCACAAAATACTTATTCGCAGCTAAAAATAAATCTTCCCGTTAAGGTTGAGCCGATCATCTGAAATTACTTCATCCGGATTCGACGCAGAAAATATTATTCGGAGCCTGTGCCGTCGCCACCCACATAGCATCTGCCGGCAACGTCCGTAAAATATCCCCGCTTTGGGAAAGCGAGCAGCAGGATCCGGGCGACTCGACGGAATGCTTCTTTATGGAGTTGCCGGCAGGCGTACCTCGAGCGCCTTCTTAAGCTCCAAATCGCCTTCGAACGCGGGTCGATCCCGAGTCGCTCCGAATTCATGGCTCTGTGGGACGGTTTCCCCACGAGGACGCTAGTGCTTGTATCTGCATCGACCCGCTTCCTTTTTAGTGCTTTAGTAACCGAGGGGATAACCCGGAGGGAATCGCCTCTCTTTCATTTGAGAACTCCGAAGTAGACGCGCAAACTTTGACCCGCAAGCGGGGGAGAGGGGAGGCAGGAGGTGTGGCGAGAGGCACGTGGGAAAAACCTAATTGGATTCTGAGCGGGTTTTTCCGAGTTAGGGCGTACGTCAGTCCTCTTCCTCTAAAGGCAGCGTTTCTACGTTTAACCAAAAACAAGGGAGTCGAGAGCGCAGTTTAGCGCCGAATTATAATCCGCGCTGCCCCCTTTTTATTTGAGGTCGCGGGCGGCAAATTCCGAGAAACGTTCGGGACGCCCGAGAGAAGGCGCCGCTTTTGGAAAAGGGCGTTCCGTCCTCCCTTGGCGAGCGACCTACCACTCTCCCCTCTCCGCGGGTTTGGCCCTGGGTTTACACTGTGACCTATAGGACGGGGTTGTTCTGCAAGCGATGCCGCCGCCGCCGCCGCCCGTCATAAAAGTTTTACGTAGTTCAGCGGCGAGGGCTGGCGCCTGGAGGAGGGAAGGGGCCTAGCCGGGCGACCGGCTGGTCTACCAAAACGCCGCCCGAGTTTGCAGGACGGGGCCGCGGCTGCTCCGTGCCCAACATGGGGGTGACCGTGGAGGCCCAGAGAGTTTATAAATATCCTTTCGAGCAGGTGGTGGCCAGTTACCTCCGCAAGGTAAAGCGGGGAGTGCGAGCGAGCGCTACTCCCACCCCCACGGTTTTTGTGCAGTTTAGCGCGAGCGCGGCCACATGTCCGTTACTCGCCCTCTTTAAAAGCCCTTGCAGCAGCACCTCTGCTGCCGAAACGCTGAGGGGAGGGGGTGGAATGCTGTTTGTGTTGAACTCGAAACAAAAGCCACTCGGAGCCGTCGCCCGCCAGAAAAAAGTATATACAGCTCAGCTGGTGGAGCCGCGGAAGGGAAAAATGGCGCCGCCGCAATCAAACGTCGTTCTCATTTTAAGTCGGTTCTGCTCCAAAGCCCCTTGTATGCAGCTCCGCTTTCCTTGGCGTACTTGCCTTCCAGTGCGTCGAAGCTGGCGCTGTAAACATCCCCATCGAGTGTATCCTCTGTCTTTTTCTGTTTACCTGTTTCGGCTGGGGCTCTCTGCTTCCCTGTCAGCTCTCGCATAAAATGCGGTCACCCTCGTTCCTCCTTTGCCTTTGAGGATTTCTTTTCTTCCTTTTTTTTTGGGGGGGGGGGGGGGGGGGGGGGGAAAGGAGAAAGTGCTCGCGAACTTTTGTGTGAGTTTGCGTGTTTTTCCCCACTTAGCTATTCCTGGTGGCGGGATGCTCGTTTTATGCCTGTTTTGCATAACCAAGAGGCTCTGAATGTCAGGCTCTTATTAGCTACAGTGATATTAAAATGAGGTGCATAGATTCTCCTCCAGCCATAGATCTCAACTAATAAAACTATCCCTCAAAAATGCATTTGGACTAGGAATAATTAATTTTAATAGTTGAAATCAAAAAAATGAAATTAGACAGAAGGCAGATGATACCTTTTTTAAACTCTGGTAAGATTAGCATTATACACTAGTTTACTGGTATATTTTGCAAGGATTTACTTTCCTAAATCCTATTTAAGGGAGAGGCCTAAAAGAACATTGATTAACAGTAGTAAAACTTGCTGGATTGCAGTGATGAAAAATTAGAGAATGCTAAAATCCATTTGTGGCTTTGGTTATTACATAACCAAAGCTGCAAGTAACAAGTCTAGACAATGTTAGTTCACAAAAGAGGACAAATGCTAATCTTGCATATTGCTTTTATTTTGGAGTTTGTCCTAATTTGTCCACATGCTACAGTGGCTAGATATGGCTTACAGAAAGTAGCTGTGTAATGTTTTCACTCTTTTGGAACATTGGAACATAATGGGAGAAACAGACAATAGCACAAGTGATTTAAAAACTGTTAAACCAGATTGAGGGAGATTCAGATAGAGAAAATCTTCCCTTCATGGAAGCCAGGTATTTTTTCTTTCTCTTTTTTTTGTAGAATGATATTCCTATTAATTAAGGATTGCTGAGCATAGACAATTTGTATGCATGAAAATCGGCTACTTTGCTGAGAGGCTTACATAGTAGGCACTGATGCCTGGAGCAGAAATTAAAATGTACAGCAGTATTGAAACTTATGTGGTGCATCCCTTATTGAATATTGATTTAAGTACTTTTCATAATGCTTATTATTGGACTTTCAGTTGAAGTTGGCTTCTGAAATGGTAAGTTTTCACTGTCTTTTTAGTTATGATGGTAACAGATATGTGTGTTGTGGTTCTGCCTTTATCTTTACATTTATAAACTGCTGAGAGTCACTGTATAAGGAGAGATTAACAGTACAAAAATGTAACAAATTCTTGGATTTTTCATATTGATGGAAAAACTGTAAGGAGAGGATAAGGTTCATATTTTGCTGAAGAGTTGTAGTTATAGTAATCTGAACATAATTCTGTTTGAGAAGACTTGAAAACATTGTGTCTGGTATTCCAATAGATTCAACATAACAAGATATTGTATATAGACTATCTAACAATTTTTGGACGGAAAAGCATCTTAGAAAAACTGCACTTCCTTTTTGCATCCATTGTGCTTCTGATTAGAGTTTTAAAAGGGACATTTTTAAAGAGGGATATTCATTTCTTCCTAATGTGTGAATTTCTGATATTAGAAATTATTGCTTTCCTTTTGTCTTTATATGAATAAGGGTGCAGAAGTTGTTTAATTATAGATTGCATAATATGCTGACTTTATTGCCCTCTAGTTGTGAATTTTTAAAAATGAAATTGAAGTAAAAGAAATAATTACTACTTCCCTGCCTGATTTCTACTCATCATGCTAAGATCAGATGACCTAGTTTGAAACTCTTTCTATTCTATTCAAGTTGAATAAAAAGATAGGTAATTTTAAGCAAACAGGCACCTTCAATTTTATGTAGCTCTGTAATTTAGTTCAACTTCACAGGTAGCCTTATACATGTGAACTCTCTTTAGTTTCTATTGTTTGATTTTTGTTGTAAGAGAATAGATATCTGCAGGTGTTTCTAACAGTGTAATCTCACTGCACATTTGATTTTGAATTGCATTCATTTGCAAATACCGTCTTATTGTTTCATATCCTAACACAGGGGTCCCCAGTCTGTGGGCCACAGCCCACTACTTGACCACATGAGTAGCAGGCTGGTGTGTGCACCTCCGTTTGAGCATACAGTTGCATGAGCATCAGCACGGGTGCTCATGGCCCCACTTGTGTGAAAGTCGCCAGGAATGTGGGCACTTGCATGTACACACACTTGCCTCCTTACAAAATCACCCCCCCCCCCCCCCGCTCTGGGCCGCCAATCTGGAAAAGTTGGAGAAATCTGCCCTAATACACATAACAGAATCACATTCAGTGACTTTGTATAATTTTGCCATAATGTATGTCTTATTAATTATTCTGTATCTTCCTGTAAGGCATTGGTCAATTCATTGCTGTTTGTTTTGGTCATATTTTTCATTTTTTTGAAAGTCCATCATCTGCTCTCCTGTATCTCATTTTAGTCTCCTATCTAAATATTTTCTTTGTCTCTCTTGCCCTTTCCCTGCTTTTCTTGTAAATATTCAGTTATGATGTCATCAATCATTGATAAATACCTCTAGAATTTAGTGGTATTTTTTGATTCTGACATCAAATGATTTTAGCGCTAAAAAAGACCACCCTCTTAAGGAATAGTAGCTTTAAGTATATTAAAGCATATCTATCTATATACTGCTAATACAAAATGTCATAAAGCATTTCCTGTGGTAAGCTGCTGATGTTTGATTGTACTATATAGTTCAACATGGGCTGTGTTCAAGGCAGATACATTTCTGAGTATCTCCCTGAATTTTAAAGAACTTTCCAGTGCTTAGAAGTTCTGCCATTGTTGAAGGCATTGATGACTCTAGTAAGCAAATATATGAAGACCTGGTTATCTAGTATATTACTAAAGCTCTATGTCTGTAACCTTTAGCTGGGCAAAAAAGGCAGAACTTTTAAACTGAGGTATGTCAAATGGTTAACTTACAGAATTAAAAATCCAGGTCCTGTGACTCCCATGGAATTGAAATATGGCAAATTTTAAAAAATACTTTATGACATAAATTATCCTAGCACACACAAGACAGTTGGAAAACATTTCCTGTAATCAGCTCCTGATATTTGACTGTGCAGGCATATTTCTGAATAATTCCCTGAATTTTGAACAAATTTTTCAGAATATTAGAAGCTCTGCCATTGTCTCTGTAACAATGACCCAGTGGATCACATATTGTTTTGTACCTACCTGAAAATTCTAATGTTTGTAAAGTTGCCTTAGGAAAAAAGTTCCCCTCCTTTTTTCCCCTGTTCAAATAAGATTTGCTCTGTGATCCAAATGTCATATTGCCTATTTTCAAACTAAGTAGGTCTCTTCACAAAATCTGATGACTCATCAAGTTCATATATCATTAGTTGGGACCACATTCTGGAAAAATACACATCTGTTTTGAGCATATGTACAATCTTTTCCCCTAGATTGAAGTTAGGACTGACTTGCTTCAATAAAATTCACTTGATGAGCAGTGCCTCAGGTCTATTGTAGAATTAGAAGCAACCATTTAGGTCACTGATTCCAAATTTGCTTAATAGGGTAAACCAGCTCTTTATTTATTAATCAAATTTATATAGCTGCCCATCTCACCAAAAACAATTCCTGGTATTCCACAACAATTAGATAAAAGCAACAGGTATAAAACATAAAAATCCATTTAACAAACAAATCATAAGCAAAGGGAGGATTGAAAATTGCCACCTCATTAATAGAGCCATCCAAAGAAGTCTCCTTTTGCCTGGAAACATCTTTTGAAGTTGCCATGGGCCCAGAACAAGTGCTTTATTTCTTATTAATCACTCCTGACCACGATAAAATATCACCCCCCACCTCCCATTGTCATGTTTCTGTATTTGGGGCATTTGGCAACTGGCCTCTCTTTGACTGGTTGCAGCATCCTGTGATCATATGATTTGCGGTTTCTGGCATTTTTTGGTGATTTCTGGCAAAAAGCATCCATTTGGAAGAATGGGTTTGCACTTACCTATGTTTGCTTAATGACTCTGGATTGGCTTAACCACCATGGTGAATTGCTTAATGACTTACAAAGTATAGCATAACACTGGAGTCCAGAAATGTGGGTGCTTCAAATTACAACTATAGCGACTTATAACCAAATATCCAATCCTAACTGCAATCATAAGTTGAAGACTATCTGTATCAAAAGGAGATCTAATTCAGGATGGTGGGGGTGGGGAAGAATGTTCTATAAGGTGTGCTTCAGGGCAGAGAAGGCATTTCTCCTGGAAGCCACAAAATGTAAGACCTTTAGCTGATGATACCTGCAGCATGACTGCTCTGCCTGATCTAATGGAGATTGAAACATCTCCGACTGATGATTGTCCAGCTTGTGTCTGACTGCCTCCAATCATTTCCCTTGGTAATTAGTTCTACTTTTCAGCTACTCATTACTACAAAGAAGCTGTCCTTGCTTTCATGTTCAGTTGAAATTAGTCTTTTGATAGTTGGAGAATATTATGCTGTTTTAAAGGTTTTTAACGCAATAAATCTTGGCCTTTTGTATGACAACCTTTCAGGTATCTGAAGAGATTTTTCCTATCTTTTCA